AATTATTATCTTCTAATTTGAAAATGAAGTTATATTTTACATATGAAGGTTTTTTATATAAAGTAATTGCGTAATCGTATTTTGATCGTCTGTATTATAGTATGTAGAAAGTATTTGGTTTACATTGAATTACTCAGAAACGTAGCGACACACAGGATGTTATTATAGTAATATTTTCTTTTCATGTCTATGTCAATAAAGTATGGAGTAAGTTTTATTCAATTGAACCAATACACATGAGAAAATCTTTATTTTTCGTAGCAAATATGCTAAAAGAAGCAGTAAGTTGGGTGGTTTCTTGCTTTACATGATACGTTTGTTAAGCAATAAACTAAGTAACATAATGAAATCACAAAAACCCAACGAGAAATAATTCAATAGGCTTCTATTATGTTACAGCTTCAGTGAAAAATTCTTCAGAATTCAGATTTCATCTATTTCACATATATGAATGTATTTTTTTTTTTTGAAAAATTCAATTTCTCATGAAGTTCTTATCTAATATAACATTCTGACATTTATTGTCGTTAACACTGTGTTATTTACTATATAAATTTTAAGTGTGTATAAAAACGAATTCGAAAAATTTTTCTCAATCAACACCTTCATAGACATATGTTAGTCACTTCTGAATTCTATAAGAAAATGATGTTTGATACATTTTTTTTATTGATATTAAATGCACATCAAAGAAAAAAAAATACACAATAGATCGATGGAATGCTATCATTTTATAGATATATTTCATCTTTTTATTTTTTTTGTAGAAATATTATATGTTTCAGAATACAAGCGTAATCATATCAGGCAAATAAAAAAAGAAATCTTTTTGATGTAAAAAGAAGACGAATGTATTATACTGTCAATATGCTTATGTCTATGGAAAAACAGATAAAAGGAAAGGCATTCGGGTAAATGATACATGAGACATATAACTATTATATTGAATTTTGATTGAATATTTTGTTTTTCTATACCTATTACTATAAGTTTTAAAGTGTTTCCATTTTAATAAACTGCATTGTTCTCTTTCTAATCTTGTTCATAAAAGAAATATAGAATTCACTGATTTTAATCTCATTTCTTTTATATTTATTATTATATTTTCAATGTTTCTCCTAATATGTTTATTAGATTTTTACTGTTGTCAAAACTTCTATGACGGAAATAATTTTCGATAATAATTTTCCTGATCAAAATTAGTAGAATATGCTGGAAACTCATCTTTTTAAAAGCCTACGCATTTCGACATAAGAATAACATGTATGTCATTGAAAGCTTTTAAAAGTAATAATTATCTATAGTGTACACAGTATCTGATAATTCTATTTTCTCGTTGAAGACAATGCACAACAATAAAGAAAAGAAAATGAATTTAGCATCTATATACTATTCAAATCCTTTCTAAGATTATTGTGTAGATATGAGTAAATTACTCGAACAAGTACTTAAAGTAAATACTTATCTACACCCAATTCAATTTTGTCTTGTTACTATAATAAATATTCTAAATATACGTGTATTATGTTCTCGTATTCTTCGTTCATCACCATGTACACATTATTTCTTAGCTTATGCTCTCTTTAGTATAATTTACAATTGTGTATCATGTTCAACACAATTTTTATATAGTTTTTATATTGATTGGGCAAAAAAGTACCTTAGGATGTTAAAATGCATTTTTATTTTTCATTTGTTTCATTGGCTCAAGCTAAAGTAATGCTTCTTTTGGCTTCCTGTGATTGTTATTATTCAAGGTCACAATCACGTCTACTTCATACGATAAGTACTATACAAACAGCAAGAATTTCTATTGTAATTGATAGAATATTATCTGCTATTTATATGTTACCAATGTTGGCTATTTATAAATAGTATGACATTTCTAAACAATGTTTACAACCATCAAATACTCTCATTTATCTTTATATTCTTAGTCAAATTATTTCATATTATGTTTTAATACCTATATTAATGATTATATTCGGTTTTTTGACGATGTTGCATATTCGCCCACAATCAATACGAACAAAACATTTAATATCATCTATCCATCGACGTCGCACTGAAGAACAATTAGCTCGAATGTTAATAATTCAAGTTTAGTATCCATCTTATTCTTGGCATTCCATTTGGTATTACGTATAGTATGAATGCATTTTATCCATCAACACGAACATCAAATATTTTAGCCGTACTTTATATATTAGTCATGTGGCAACGATATGATCATTTTGTAACGTTTTTTATTTATATTTGTTCAGGAAGTGTCTATCGAGAAGAACTTATTCGAATATTCAAATCTATAAGATGGCATCATTCAATATCAATTCAATCATTTACATATGAACGAAAAATTGTCATACACGAATTTTCTCTGAGTACTACTAGTATGTTATCTTCAATGAAAACAAAAGGTGTCTATGTGTAAAGTTATTAGTATATGTCTCACATGAGTATATTGTATATTTTCCTATTCTGTGAGTTTACTGACTTTTCATTTATTTATTTATTTATTTATTTAGTTGATTTTCATTTTTTGTGGTGTGCTGCTTATATAATATTTGTTCTGATACATATTAAACTAGTATATTCATTGTAATAAATTCATTATAATTTTTGGTCGACAAAAAAAAGTGACACAGAAGAAAATAATTGTTTGCGTCAACTTAATCAGTTTTTATTAACTAGATTTTACAAGAGAGATTCGAGATAAAAAAGAGATGTAAAAAAGAATAATGTATTCTAGCCTTTTCAACAATGTCTTTATCATCAATGTGATAAAGAACTATTGCTATTTTAAGAACTAGTGGAATGTCAGCACAGCAGAATAATTAATGAAGAAAGTACATGTATTCCTTAGATTTTTATTTCCTTCTATTTTCTAGTAGACATATTGTTCTCATTTGAATAAAGAAAGGAAGTATATATCGAAAGTTTTACTAAAATTTCACTAATTGTGTCTAAGTATTCTATTAGTCACACAAAAAAACTTGAACTTTTATTATAAGATCTTCTTTTTAAATTATGCTTGATGACATAAGTTTTATGTGAAAACATGATAAACAATTTGTAAATTAATTTAGTCCTGTTTTAGTCTCGTGATCATGTTTTTGGCTCGTGCATGACAGATAGGATCAATTTTTAATAAATTTTATTTTCTTCGATTCTGTGTTTCGTTATTGTTATTGTTAATACTTTAGAATTATTCATAATTTTTTGATAATTTGATTCACATAAAAATCTTTGCATAAAATATCTAAAAAATGGTATATAAAGTATATGTTCTATGTACTAATTAATTATTTATGGAAATTTTTACTTGAGCATCTAACAGACATAAATCAATATATAACTTACGATGCATAAGTGTCTGCACAAATCGCAAGATCTCCGGTGTTCCAACGGATAATACTAAAAGTTTAACTTTTTCACTGACAAACAAAGCGAAAACTGTACTTTGATATGTGTATTCAGAATAAATTTTAGGATATAGTTGCTGATTTGACCAACAAATGTGTACCAAATAATAGCGCATTGATTTTAACAAATATCTTTAACCATGTTTGCTAGAATAATTAAATATATATATATATGAGTCTTTATCAATCTTTGTGTTTGGTTTTTTTTTGATTATAAATGATATTCGTCAACAATCTGCTCATGTACAATACTTTTGACAACATCTATACGTGGTCGTCGGTGCAAAGGATCATTAACTGGAATACGTCTTATTCATCTTATGATTTCTGTTGTTCTTATACTTCTGTTCAATATTACATATACAATAAATTCATTTGAATCATCTCTACGCACAACAACAGTAAAAATCATTCGTTTTGCTTTTTGTCATATGGCAACAATGTAATAATTTGATTGAATTTTTTTTCTTTATGTTCTTACTAAGAATATTTTATCGACAGTAACTCTACAGAATATTAAAATTCACTTAAACTTGATCATACATCGACGAATTCATTCATATGACATCTGAAAAGTACCTGTCGAGAGTTGCTATTCATCACGACAACTGATCAAAATTCCAATGAGATGATGAATCATGTTTCGATTTCGATTAGTCATAATGGTGTAGGTGTTAGTGAAAAAAAGATTCGCTGTCACATTCACTTTTCACACACTAGAAAAAGATATTGTTCAATGATTTCATTGTGGGAACTTCTTTTCGAAATATTTAATTTTTGTCTTTTATTCCTTTTTTTAATGCACTCTGCAACAATATAAATACGTAATACACAATTTGTAGTTAAAACATTGCTCTTTTCAACAAAAAAAAACAATTCGACATATTTTTGCGAAGACTTTTGTATTACATGTTACGTCGATAAAAGTATTATCCGGATGAATCCGATAAAATTATGTCTGTGTATTCTCTTTATAAGGTAACTAGTCGTGATTGAAAAACTATAGAAGTCATTGGAATTTATCCCGTTTACTTTTTAGTTTAATTCTGTCTTTACCATAGAATGAAAAGACCAAGATTTAGAAAATAGAAATCTTTAAATGAATAAGCAAATATCATCAAAAAATTTGAAGAATTTCGAGAAATCTAAGATATTGACTTGTCGTAACTACTTCACATTTCATGATTCCTAAAAAATTAAAATCTTCCAATATCTATTCTTCAAATTGTCTTAAACTATCCTGATAAATACAGAACATATATTAGCAGGAAAGCATTACTATGAAATTTGTATAATCGCCACATTATAAGAGATATTGAAATAACTATAGTAGTGTTTCATCCTATGAAAAACTGTTGTCAATATTACATTAGACAAATAAACTATTGATACGTATTCGCAGGAAATACGAACATCTGAAAAATTTTCCTATGAATTAGTTTGATATCAATCATTGAATCACTGTTTTTGAATATATTTTCTGTTAATCAAGTTACTTTTAAGTCTGTGATAAAAACTGTTAAAGTTTTTTTAGTAGACTATAAATGAGCACAAAAGTCAAAGTAGTCAATTGATTGATTAAGATCGACCAACTAATTTGCTATTAATAACTGCTGTTGATAAATCAACTTGAGCTACTGGCATATCTTCTCTTTTAACTCGTACTATTTCAGAACCAAATGAACCGAAAATTTCCAAAGATTTTGGTTTTGGACAAAAAACACGACGTATAACATAACAAGGCCATGCACATATTAATGTTATCCAAAGAAGAAAGAAAAAAGTTGGTTGTTCACCACGACATTCACGCATTTGATCAATATCACGTAAGAAAATAGCCGAATCTGTATGTGAAGGTTCTGAACAATTTTCGCTACAAATATTTTCTTCATATCGAGTAAGAAGTCGAATATCCGTCAGAGCAGTATAATATGCGTTATTACAGCAGCATAGATTATCATGATATTCCCATTCACGATAGACTTTTTCACTGGGTAATAAATTAAAACTATTATTTATTGGACGAAAATAAGCCTGTGGCTGTTGAGTTTGAACACGAGCAGGTGCTATAGCCCTAAATATAGGATAAGAATGCTTATTTTATTTAAATAAGACACTATATTCACTTACATGCTTTGATGTGTTGTCCTTTATTATTTTTTTGAAATAAAACAACAGTTGACTGTATTGTGTGTTATTTATTTGAACACATACAACATAATTCAATAAAATATTGTGTCGATGGAAATATTCAATTGCATAGAACAACTATGGTTTCATATATTTCATTTTCTTATTTGCCAACGGACTTGTAAATAATGCAAATGCATTGCTATGATTGTATGCTAGTTGATTGAAAATAAAAATGAGTTTCGCAGGCGAGTTGTGTTATTTTTTTAGTTTTCATCTATAATTACTAAATTTCGATTTTTTTTTGTAATGAAACATTGTTTTTCAACCAATCTATGATGAAAGAATTTATTGTTGAAAAGAAACTACTGGCATTTTATTTTAACACTGTGCTTCTCAATTGATACATTCATTTTTTAATTCACAATTATATAAAGAAATTTGAAAACACTTGATAGCTAATATAATTTAATTGTATGATTGAAAGTATATGATACTTATTGTTTATTTCAGGCAAATTGTAATGAATCTGTTACATGATTATTGGATAAGACAAAATCATATGTTCAAAAATATTAGCGAAATTAATTGATTTCGATCACTTATACAATAATTTGTTAAGTAAAAAATTAATTTAAGCAGAAATTCTCTATTTCTTAACAAAATCTACATTCATAAAAATATACATTTTGTTTCAAATGTTAGAATTTGATTTAATGGTAAACTAAAATAATAGAAATTAATATATTTTTGGTAAACATGATTCTCGTTAATTGAAAAAACAAGTAAGCAAATAAGAATAAAAACAATTGTTTATGATTAGAATATAAATTAACTTATTTATTTCACTCACGTGATTGTTTATCTTTCTACACAAGAAAGATCATTCATTTTCTGTACTATCTCCAATAAAGATAAGTTTTTCAAATTTTTATTTTCATCGTATGACTATGAATATTGGAATAATTACTCTGTGTTTTTTTTTGAGAACAAATACTTTTGTTCGAAGTTTAGGTATTCATATACAACAAAAAAAAAAGAAAAAGAATATAAAAGCCAACATAATACTGAAAACAAAACATCATATGACATGACATTTTCTTCTATATTTACTAGTAATTGAATTGTGTAGCAAAACTATCAGAACGTTGTTAAGGACAATTGAAGACAAAAAATGAGTTATAGAAAATTGATAAAATATGAAATATTAGTTTTGGCAGTTGTTGCTAATACATTATTCGATCCAAACCGAAGTTTTATCAAAAAAAACAGTGAAAAGTGTCCTATACGAAAAAAAAACAATAATAAATCTTCGAACTATTTAAAAAAATTTAAGACTCTATTTTGAAAATATTGGATTCGCATGTATAGAACGTAGAAATATATCAACGAAAAGAGTATCTCCAGACTAACTTATTCGAATTAATAATCCATCTTACCATAGTGGATTCAATCTGAGAATAAGCCAACATGACAAAATTGTAATGAATACGAGCAGGTTTTTCATTAAGTGCATTTTTCGATGGAAAAAATTTCTAGACATTTTGTAAACACATATAAACGAACTTAGTTTTTTTTTATACTGATGCTGAAAATATCATATTATTTTCAACTAAAAATTAATTAGAATGACATAAAACTGATTCTTGAGCATATTATGCTTAGGAATTTTTCAAGTACGCAGACTTTTTTAACCTTCGGACAATATATGGTTTTGTAGGTTTTCAAAAGATTATCAAATGAGTCCTACGAGAATTTCAAGTTTTGAATTTAAACGTTTGTTGAAAGGCATAAAGGGATTATGAGTACAGTAAAAATGCTAATGGTGACTACCAGTACATCGAACCTATATCCCTTAAAATTAAATAATCGATTGATGGTCCATCTCTATGATTGAAATCTTATTAAAGAGCGATGAAACTCATGATTCCATTATTTTTTTGTCTTATTTGCTTATTCTCAAATAAAATCCATTGTGATATGATGGATTATTAATTGGAATAATAATAAAAAATGCATTACTTTGTTCATAGCTATTGAACTTCAAAACTTCGCCCAAACCTTATGAAACTAGTACCAAAATGTTAGTCTCAACAAACTTTTTTCATTGATATAGGATTCAATGACATTATCCAAAAAAACTGATAGTAGGTCGCTGTAACTTCTCGCGTGCGCTCCCTCTTTTTTCATGATTGATTATTTCAAGATTCTCTATACGAATAAAATATTATAAAACTAGAATAAATACAATATGAAAGAGAAAAAAAATACTTTCATACGAGAAAAATGAAAAAAAAACATTTTTTCTTTTTTATTGTTGACCAACCATCATGAAACAGAACTCGTGATCTTTCAATTGTTGATCAAGCAAAAAATTATTAATTTTGTTGTTTAAAATTAAAAATCCATATGTAAATGAAATTGATAATTCGAAAATAAAATCCATAAATAGAAGAATAACATTAATATTATAGACTTTAACAAAGAGCTTGAATAAACCAAAGATAATACATAAAATAGACAAAATCAGAGTCTTTTTGGGATAATTATTATATTAAAATTAAAGACCATTCTTTTTATTTGAAGGTCTTACTAATAAAGAAGCATGATAACACCACATTTAAAATACTTCATTCATCAATCGAAGTATTTGATGTTTTGACGAACTTTCTGAGGAAAATACATGCAAGTTAGTAATACTCGCTTGATTTAACTTCTTCTCGCCATACATCCTC